GGGCGTCGCCTTTACTGGCAGGCGGTCTCTGTCCCGCCCGGAGGTGCGAGAGAGACGGGGCGACGGTTCGCTCGGGAAGGCCGGGCTGCTGCAACTTTACGGAGCTGGATCGCTTCCAGACGGTGCAGTGCTCTGCGCGCATCGCAGGGCGGAAAGTTCGGACCGGGAGGGATGGCACGGCGATACTCCGCGCGTGGAGCCACGCGGAGCTCGTCCATAAGGGCGGCGCGTCCCTGGCGCGGGGGGTAGCGGCGGGGCATCTCATTCCGATGAGAGCGCCGAGCAGTGCTGCCACGCAAGAGGGAGAAAACTCCCTCGATGGGGTTGCCAACCCTACCAGGCCTAGGCAACATCTCGAGCTCAAAGTCCAGTAGTGCGTACTGTAGTAGGCGGGCAGAGGTTGGCAACGCTTTCGTGGTGGTTTTCGCCTTCCATTGTGGCCACCCTGTTCCGCCGAGAGCGAAGCCATCGCCGCGGCAACCTTTCCCGCCCGCCTCGCCGCCTCGCCGCTCCCCGGCCTTCATGCTCCTTTTCCTTTTCGGAGAGGTCCCGCCTCTTTTATATCGCCGCTACACTGCGAGCACTGCGAGGCGGCGCGGTGGGCTGACCTTCTGAAACGCCGAAGGGCCGAAAGGGCACTGCACCAGAAGGGCGGCGCGGCCATGCAACAGGCGGCAAGGACGACAGCAAGAAAACAACAACAACAACAACAACAACAACAACAACAACAGAGCTCCACGTGCAGAATAACACGAACACGATGCAGCCAAAAGAGTGCGTTGCCTGTCATCAGTGGCAGAGGCTCGCCGGCGGATGGAGCGCACCGCCAGGCCGCCAGCCAGGCCGGCAGCCAGGCCGCCAGCCAGGGTGCGGAAATGCGCCGGGCCGAGGAAGCGGCGCGGTCGACTCACCGATCCCCAACAGCGCCGTCGTCGCTCCGTCTCTCTCGCACTCACGGGGCGCCCCGTGCCGGTGCGAGAGAGACGGAGGGGCGAAGGCGCTGCTCGGAGGAGTAGCCTGCGGGCCCTGCGGGGGGTTGCGTTACGGCAGACGGGCGGCGCGTTCGCGCGTTCGCCTCGCGGAGGTACACAAAGCAGCAGGCAGTGGCGGGGGAGCGGCGTCTGGGCGCAGCAGCACTCCGCGTGCCCACGGTGGCCGCTCGCGTCGTCGCGGTCGTCGTCGTGGTCCTCGTCGTGGTCCTCGAGGCGCGCTGTGCGCTGTGCACCGGCCCGTATTAATAATCGAGTGTACCTGCGGCGGGGCGAGGCGCGGCGACGTCGCGGCGGTTGGCGAGACGCCTAGGGACGCCCCGCGACTCGGAGAGGGCGTCTTTGCCGCGCCGCCGCGCTTCGCGACCGGGACGCCGTCGACCGGGGACCGGCCAGGACCGGGCAGTACGGCCCCAGCAGAAGGCCGCGCCGTGCCGCGCCGCGCTTCCCCGCCAGAGCAGCCAGAGGGAGGCGGCCAGAGGGAGGCGGCCACAGGCCAGAGCGCCGACGGGATCCCGGGCGCCGCGACGCCCCGAGTCGCTGCGGGCTGCGGTCGCTGCACGCTAAATCGAGACGCGTACGCGTGCATCGCGACGCACCGCGACGCGCCGCGTAGCCATGGCGTAGCGCGCCGCGTGCTCAACCAGTGTGTGATTGTCAAGTGTCAGGAGAAGAAGAGCCTGGTGCCGCAGGCCGTGCAGTGCACTGTGAGCGAAGCTACACTGTCATCGCGACGCCATTAGGGCACGCCAGGACCTCCTTCGGCTTGGCGGCTCGGCGGCTTCGCTACGCCCAAACGTCCCGCAACTTGGTGAAAAACACACGCCTCGCCGCACGCCGCCGGCTAAATTTGCATTTCTACTGTAAACAGCAGCGGGCATGGCGGGGCGCGGCCGCGGCCTGCGGGGGGCGGCAGGGACCGGCAGGGACGCCCCGCGAATGCGGTGAAAATTGAGAAAAACAAACCCACTGCCGCCGGTTCGCGGCCGCGCGCCGCGCCTACCGCCAGCCTGCGACGCCGCCAGCGCGGGCCGCGACGCGTCGCGACGCCCGGCGCGGGATGATCTCCTATCAGTGCATCAGTCCAAAGAAACAATGCGAACGCATCTGGGGGTCTGCGGGGTGTCAGTCTCGTTGGAATGGCTGTGCCAATGGCAGCCAATGGCAGCCAATGGCAGCCAATGATGGCAAAACGAAAAGTGGGCTGCTGCTGGGCCGCAGTCCGACTCACGCACGCCGCACGCCGCGCCGAGTGGAGTGCGTAAACAAAACACAACGCCGGGGGTTAAACAAACACAAATGTAGTGCGTGCCTGGGCCAGGCCTGGGCCAGGCCTGGGCCTGCTCCTGGCCGCGCGGGCCGTGCGGGGGCGGGCTCGGGGAGTCAGGGAGCGCCAGAGAAAGTTTGAGGAAACGGCATGCCGACGCGATGCGCGATGCACCTCGCCGACCGCTGCACAGTGGCCTAGAAGACCGGTGGAGGCGGCCAAAATTCTGAACGTGTTTTGAGCTCCAGAGTCGCTAAGACTTGAACCGAACGTGTCGACCAATAGCTTGCTCTCCGAAGGAGGAATCCATTGGTGGGGTCACACGTTCGATTCGAGTCCTATTTAGCGACTCTGAAGCTCAAAACGCGTCTAGAATTTTGGCCGCCTCCACCGGTCTTCCGGCCCACTGTGCGCTGGCGCACTGCGCTCCTCAAGAATGGCGGGGTTGAGCGCCTGCAGAGCAAAGGGATAGGCAGACCCGCCACGCGCGGCTGGCCAGCGGGTGGACTACGTCGCGGATCACAGGCGCTGGCGCTGGAGCTCCAGCCGGGCACTGCCTGCCTGTCTGCCTGCCTGTCCGCCTGTCTGTCTGCCTGCCTGTCCGCCTGTCTGTCTGCCTGTCTGCCTGCCTGTCTGTCTGCCTGTCTGCCTGCCTGTCTGTCTGCCTGCCTGTCCGCCTGTCTGTCTGCCTGTCTGCCTGCCTGTCCGCCTGTCTGTCTGCCTGCCTGTCCGCCTGTCTATCTGCCTGTCTGCCTGCCTGTCTGCCTGCCTGTCTGTCTGCCTGTCTGTCTGTCTGCCTGTCTGTCCGCCTGTCTGTCTGCCTGTCTGTCCGCCTGTCTGTCTGCCTGCCTGTCCGCCTGTCTGTCTGCCTGTCTGCCTGCCTGTCCGCCTGTCTGTCTGCCTGCCTGTCCGCCTGTCTGTCTGCCTGTCTGCCTGCCTGTCTGTCTGCCTGTCTGTCTGCCTGTCTGTCTGTCTGCCTGTCTGTCTGCCTGCCTGTCCGCCTGTCTGTCTGCCTGTCGGCCCGCCTGTCTGGCGTAGACTCGTCGCCCTACCTGTCCGCCCTTAGACACACGGATGAAAACTGCGCCTGTTTGCGCCCCACCCCCTCTCTGCTCCCCTCATTACTTTTCAGCAACGGTTGGCCAGGCGTGCTTTATGTGCAGGCAGCTGTTCGTATGTAAGGGGGGGAGAGGGTTACGTGTTTTGATGGACGGGCTGCACGCCGCGGTCGCGGTCACTCACCTGTCACCGGGACACGGTATGACGGCCGGCCCGCGGCCAGCCCGGCGCCCCCCCCCCCCCCTCTTCTGCCAGACGCCGCCATCTGAATGGGGAACGCGGCGCGGGAGGATTCGAACCCGTTAGTCATTCGAGTGTCTGGGCCATTGCTCAGCACGGCGGTGGCGGCAGTGTAGTGGCGGCAGCAGCGGCAGCAGCGTGGCCTAAAGCGCCACTTTTATATTCCACTCGAAATAGCGTCGCGGAGGACGACCCGCACGGCCCACTCTACGGACTGTCGCGACACAGACACACACACACACACACACACACACACACACACACACACGAGGAGGAATGCCCGGCCAATTAGAGCCATAACATCGAAACATTACTCTCGCGAGCGCCTTTCCTGCGAGCAGACTGCATATGAATTTAAAAAAAAACAAAAGCAAAAAACGGTGTCTTTTGGAGGTGCGACGTATATGCACTACTTGTTTAAAAGCAAACTAATTTGGATAACACCCCGCCCCTCCTTCCCGGGTCAGGGTGACGGCGGGGGCGACCGCCAAGTGATGTCGTGTGTCGCGCGTTGCACTCGGCCGTGCACGCAGCGAACGCAGCGCAGCTCTGTCTCTCTCGCACCCGTCGGGCGCTGCGGGCAGGTGCGAGAGAGACAGAGCGACCGAAATGCGCTGAGTGGAATCAGTCGGTAGGACTTTCCTCAAGTTGGCAAGGCAGCCAGTACGTACAGTGCAGTGTCCGTCTGCACCGTAAAGAGCCGGGTTTATGATTACAGCGGCGCGTAGCTGTCGCTTGGCTTGGCCAAGGCAGCAAAGGCTCTCGTGGAGTTTGCTTCGAGACACTGTGAGAGGGGGCTAATCATGAGGAATTTGAACGAATAAACTTCGGTTTACTTTCTCGTTTTCACTCTGTTTTACAAGCTCAAAAATAAGCCTTGTTTGAAAAAGAAAATTGAAAGGTAATGGCTTTTTTCACAGTGGTGGGACCAGGAGGAACAGGCGAACACAGCCCTGCAGGTGGGCGCCCCGCCCCGCCCCGCCCCGCCCCTGTCAATGTCTGCTTCCTAGATCCCGTCCCTTTGTTTTCCTGCCTCTGTCACTGTCCGCCCTCTAGAGGGGGAGGGGGGGGGACGTCTTGCCGCCGTCTGGCTTGCTGGGAAAAGGGGGGGGGGATTCGGGATGGACGGTGTGACGCTTCGTCTGCGTTGGCCCCAAATCCTTCCCCCTCCCCCAACCCAAACTTTATTCAAAAGAAAAAGACAAAGACACACTGTAAGAGGAAGTAAAGCACAACCCATAACCCATCATCGCTCTCCAAGAATTTTCTGCGGCCAGTGACGAGTGACATTGAGTGACAGGAGTCTATTTTTTTATCATCCCCGCACCGCCCGTCGCGTCGCGGTTCCGGTGACATGACGTGGTGACGCGCTGGTTGACGGTTGACGGCTCAGGCGGGGAACATCATCGTGTTGTTGTCGTTCTGCAGCGCCCCGCCGCCCCGCCGCCCCGCCGCCCCGCCATGGCGCGCGCCGTCACCGAGTGGTCGTACTTTTGAACCCAGCCGGCACCCTGAAGCAAGTGCAGCAAGGACAGCCGGCCGCCGCCAGCATGTCGTCCGCCCCCCGTCCGCCACGCCCTCGAGAACGCCGTGTCCTCGGCCGCGGCGGTCCGGCCAGCGCGGCCAGCGCGGCCAGCCAGGGCTGAGGACATGTTCTCGTCGCTGCGGCTGGCGCGCGCCCGGAGCCAGAGCAGCACGACGAGCTGCGCGGGCGGCGGCGACAAGGAGGCCGCCGTCAACGGCGACGCCGACAAGCACGACAAGCACGACAAGCACGGCGACAGGCACGTGGAGAGGCACGTGTACCAGGTGACGCCCACGCCCACGCCGCAGGGCCTGTCGTCCTGCCCCACGTCGCCGCTGCTCTCCGGCAAGCCGCCCAAGACCCCCAAGACGTCCCGCAGCCTGGTGCGCAGGGGCTCCTCCAAATGTGAGTCGCGGAGGCGACGGCGGCGCAGTGTCCTGGTGTCGCAGGGTGGCCAACCGCGGCCTGCCGCACAGGCAATCTGGGCTCCTCTCTAGGGCCTGAAAGGCAGGCTGAGGTTGGCAGCCTGGCCACACTGGCGCATCGTGGAAATTTTCGCCTACGCGTGTGGCAACACTGGCCGCAAAGTTTGCAGTGGCGTAGGGGGAATGCGTTCTTGTTGGGCGGGCACTTTTGCTGCGTCAACATCTCATTTACGTGCTGTTGCACGCTGTTGCAGGGGGCCTGGACAAGGCGCTGTGCCCGTCCATCGGCAGCCTCCGCGACCGCGTCGCGTCGCGATGGGACGACGACGACCCTCTCGGCCGGCCGGGCCGCGGCAGCCGCGGGTCGCAGTCCGACGTGTGCACGTGCTCCAAGGTGACGCGGGTGGCGGTGACGCGCGAGGACGGCTGCCTGGGCATCACGGTGCGCGGCGGCGCGCCCGCGGCCCTGGTCATCACCAGCGTACATCCCGGGGGACCCGCCGACCGGTGAGTCACCGCCTTCTCCGTCTTCCTTTTCCTGTACAGCTCGCCCGTGACTGGAACATGCCCACACCACGATGCCCAACCCCCAGGCGCGAAGTACATGATTCCCATTCGTTTGGCCGTCTGGCCGTGCTTGCAGGGAGGGCTCCATCCGGCCCGGCGACCGGCTCCTGGCCGTTGACGGCACCAACCTGCAGCTGGCCGACCTGTCGACGGCGCACTCGGTGCTCCGGGGCCACGGCAAGGTGCACGCCAAGGTGCACGGCCGGCCGAACGGGCGGGCGGGCGGCCACCACGGCCTCGGCCACCGGGACTCGGCCGTGGCCGAGCTCACCATCGAGTACTCCGTGTGCGTGGTGGGGGCCGTGGTGGGCGCGCAGGGCCCGCTGCTCGTTGAGCTGGCCCGGCCCCCCGCCCACCAGCTCGGCCTCACGCTGCGGACGGAGCGCGGCAGCGGCGGCAGGACGGCCGTCATCGTGGACGACATCAAGGCCGCCAGCGTGGCGGACAGGTGAGGCAATCGGCATGCAGAACATGCCAGATATTTTGAACGAAATCGTCCTGCAGATACTACTCTGGACTGTCTTAGGAGCGGCGCGCTGCACCGCGGTGACCAGATCCTGGCCGTGGACGACCTCCGCGTGGACTGCACGGACCTGACCGCCAACGACGTGGTGTCGCTGCTGGGCGGCAGGGCGGGCGAGCGGGGCGAGGGCGCCAGCGTGCTGCGGGTGGAGATCCTGCCGGCGCACTGCCGCCACCCAGGACTCCCGGGCACCCCGCAGCAGTACGGCAGCTCGCACGGCGTGCACCAGCGGTCGCCCTGCCCGTCCGAGTCGGGGCTGTCGGCGTACAACGCGCTGCGGACGCTGCGGGGCTACGACAACGGGTCGCTGGCGAGCAGCACCGGCGGCTCTGGGTCCGCGGGGCTCGTGAGCCACGTCGAGACGCTGGCCGTGCTGCTGCGCGCCGAGCCCCTCTCCGGGTACGGGCTGGCCGTCAGGGCCTCGGGGGCCTCCAGGACGCCGACGGTCAGCGCGCTGCACCCCGACGGCCCGGCGGAGAGGTGAGCCCAGCAACCCGACGCACTGTGCCGCCGCGCGACGGTCGTTGAAACGCTGCTCGCTTGGCGTGCTTGCAGGTCGGGCTGCCTCCAGGTCGGCGACCGCATCGTGGCCGTGGACGACCGCGAGGTGGACGCCGAGCAGCTGGCCCTGCTGCTCGACAACCCGGGGCCGCCGCTGTCCTTGCGGGTGAGCCGTCACGCCACCACGGCCAACGAGCAGGCCGACGCACCCAAACCCACCTCGTTGCCAAACCAAACTTGACCTGGGCTTCCTGCAGGTGAGCTTCCCCGTGGCCGAGTCGGTGGTGCCCGCCAGCGGCGTGTTCACCGTGAAGCTGGCCAAGTGCCGGCCCGGCCTGGGCATCACCATCACCGGCAACAAGACGGGCGAGTACCTCTACATCTCCGACATCAAGTGCGGCTCCGTGGCGCACCGCTCCGGCACGCTGGCCGTCGGCGACCGCATCCTGGAGATCGACGGCTTGAGCTTGAGCGTCAACGCCACCGGCAGGGACCTGGGCCGCGCGCTGGACCACGCCGCCAGGATCCTGCACAACAGCGGCGACGTGGTCACGCTCAAGGTGCTCAAGGACGAGGTGCCCGCAGGTAGGACACACAGCGCGTTGGAGCGCAAAGATAAGAGTGCACGAGCACGTCTACATGGCGCGCCTCTCGTTTCACTCCAGGCTACAGCTGGGGCGGCTGGGGCGGCCCACCCCTCAGGTCCGGCTGGGCCAGCAACGCCTTCAACTGGTCCCGGACCATCGAGTATCCCATGGAGGGCCAGTACGCCGCCAGCTCCGTGGAGTACTCGTCCGACTTCCCGGTGGAGTACCCCGTCGAGTACTCCGTCGAGTACACCGTGGAGCTGGTCCGCCACGGCGGCAGCCTGGGCCTCACCATCGCCGGCTCCGAGGACCCGGCGGACTCGGTCACCATCTCCGGGCTCACACCAGGTTAGTCGGAAAACTTGCCAAGTCGGCTGGGCTTGACAGTGTAGAGACTCGTCGGCTCCACCAGCTCCGCGCTCCAAGGCTGCGCCGGGCTGCGCGCGGCGCGCTGTGGTTTGAATTTTCCCGCGCTTCGCCGCGCCGCCGGTGCTGCCGTGCTGTGAGCGGCGAGTAGGGGGGACTGTGCAGTGAGCGCAACAAGTGCCCGGGGTCGAGCTATTTTAGATTTCGGTCGTTTTACGAATGGTGCTGCCTTCCTATTTACAAAACTCGACTGCATCGCGCAGATAAACACAGTCCTAATGACTTGGTGAACTCTTTTATCCCCTAATGAGACTCAGAACTCCAGTAAGTCGATAGAAAAGTTAGCTCTCGCTGGCGACTCCTGGTGCTTGCCTTTGCCTTATATACGATGCGGTTTGGACGTAGTAGCGTGTTGTATGAAAGGAGAGACGGTTAGCACTCCCCTTGACAAGGATGGAATACACATATGGCTGAGGCACTCAGCTTTCTAAGCTACTCAACCACATTTTTTTAGAAAGTGTCCAGACTAAACTTGAAAACCTTGTAATATCTGGCGAGAAAATGACGTCGACTTGGTGTGGCAGGCGGGCTGGCGGAGCAGACGGGCGCGCTGCACATCGGGGACCGCCTGCTGGCCATCAACGGGGAGTCCCTGCGGGGGCGTCGTCTGTCCGAGGCCATCGCCATGTTCCAGAACTCGGCCGACGTGGTCACCTTGAAAATAGCCCGCGCCAGGAACGGCACGGCAGCGGGACACCAGCAGCAGCGCCCTGCCGCCGAGCGCGCCGAGCACAGTGCGTCATTTTCACTCTCCCGGATCTTTAGTTTGAAATCTGTCACACAGTACGCACAAATGTTCTTTCCAGAGGGCGACCACAGTGACCTGGGCGGTCGCCTGGGCGGTCGCCTGGGCCCGCCGCACCCGGGCATCCCATCCGTGGACAGCGCGGTCGAGTCGTGGGACTCCTCGGCGTCGCAGAGGAACGCCTCTCCTGCGGGGACGCCGATGAGCCCCCTGAGCCCCCTGCCGCCGCCGGGCTTCGGCAGCCCGCTGGGCGCTGGCCAAGCCGGCACCCTCGGCCAGCCAGGCAGGGTCAAACTCACCCCCCTGCCGCCCACCGTCGCCCCCGCCACCACACCCGGACCGCCCCTGTCCAGGAGGGCGGGCAGCTGTCCGAGCCTGGACTGCCTGCTGCAGCAGGGTAGGCAAGCCATCCTACACGGAAAATAAATTTGAAATGGAACTTGAGGTCTGATGGGCCGCTCGACTGTTCTTCCAGAAACAGCGGGCCGTGGGTGGGACGGCGAGGACGGCGACGAGTCCCTGGAGGACCTGGACTCGGCGGCAGCGACCGCGGCCACCCTGTCACTGCGGGCGGCAGCCAACGACCCGGGCAAGGCGGGTAAGTGGGAGGGGAAGTCCCAGCGGTGTGCTTCGCTTCGCAGTCTTCGCAGTGCTCGAGAGGCCGCGGCCACATAACGCGTTTACTGTGTCGTCGCAGGCGTCGCGGCCGAGGCCAAGACCCCCACCACGCCGCCCTCCCCGATCTCTGTCTCGCCGCCAGCAAGCTTCCGCCAGGGCGGCCAGGGCCTCGCGGGGCCGTGGCCGTCGTCCAGCCAGAGTCCCTTGTGGCCGAGGCCACCGCCGTCTCCCTCGCCCGGGGGAGGCCGCCTCACGGCCGCCAAGGCCCTGAGCAACGACTGGCAGCAGAGACTGCGGCAGCAGCAGCAAAGCGGGGACATTGTGGACAACGCGGCCGCGGCCGACTCCAAGTTGTCTTCATTCCAGTGGGCCAGCAACGACGCCACCCTCCGCCGCCGAGGAGAGCCGCCCTCGCCCCCGGGCCGCGGCTTGGATGACTTCGCCGAGCTCAACAACAACCTGCTGCGGGAGCCCGTGCCGATGCCCGGCCCTTCCGGCCCCAGCCCCGGCCGCTTCCTCTTCGACGAGCACGACCAGCCCCACGCCGCCAACGCCAAGCGCGCGTCTTCCCTGCTCCTGGAGGAGGCCGCCGTGGACGCCCTGCGCCTCCAGGACCTGGGCCTGCACCACCCCATGGAGCTGTACCAGGTCAGGCTGGATGCGCCCCTCAAAAAAATTCCGAAATTTGTCAACCAGCCAGTCCTAAATGTTTATTTCTCCCACACCCGTTTAATTTACGCCCTCTTCTATTTTTATGCACACTAGGTTACAATTTACAAAGACTCTGTTTATGAAGACTTTGGCTTTAGTGTTTCGGATGGTCTCTATGAACGAGGAGTCTTCATCAATAGAATACGAAAGGGAGGACCTGCAGATGCCACGGGTGTTCTGCAGCCGTATGACCGTATCCTTCAAGTCAGTGAAACCACATGAAACAGAACTTTTTGATGTTATTCAATTACAAAACGAATTGTAGGTCTTTGTCGTTGATGGTTGTTTCAGGTGAACGAAACAAGGACTCATGACTTCGACTGCTGTTTGACTGTCCCTTTAATAGCAGCTGCTGGAGATCGCATTCAGCTCATAGTGGCAAGACACCAGGTATACCTCACTCGAGATCTCACTTGTCTTCCACAAATAATTGGTGCGCTTTTCATTGATTAATCCTGAGTGTCCTTTACATTCAACAGGACACATCATACCAACTGCCTCTTGACGAATCATATCTTGATTCCAACACAGTGACTCAGACAATCTGATCTTTTTTTAAAAGTAGAGTTTCAAATAATAAAAATAATTTAGAAGGAAACTACATTTTCATTTAAACTTTTATTTCCAACACCAATAATAAATATCTAAGTACAGACATAAGCTGAATTTTATAATACCACCATAATAACAACAACAAAACAGGACAGGATACATTCAGTCGAAGAAATTACACGTTCAAATCATCAAGGTTCAAATCTAGTTGAATACCAATATCATCTTCACCAGTACCATCTTCCAGCAAGTCAACCTCTGGATGTAAAGGAGACAGTTTAGGTGCTTCATATGGCTTAGAAGATTCAACAACCTTTCGGAACCGATGAATCAAATCCTGAATAGATTTACGTCTTGAAACTTTCTCAGGAACTTTTGATGGATTGGCCGAACATGCTGGCACTTCAACATTCTCCTCAACAGGGGGACACAAACTAACTCGCCCAGAGGGAGAAATGTCATCATCAAAATCAATATCAAATTTAGGAACTGATGTAGCAGGAAATTCCATTTCAGCATCCATTGAAAAAAAACTGTTGTTTGCAGACGGAGGGGAAAATATTACACATGAAGAATGGGGGGAGTCGAATGGATCTGTTGTGACCATTACTGAAGGTGGCACATGCTTCCGACCACTTTGATCAAGTTTCAGATCTGATGATACAGAGCCAGCAACAGGGGTCTTAAGAAACTGAGGCGATTTGATACAGCGATCAGTTCCTTTGGTCTCCGGAATTTTCAATACCTTTTTGGAGCCAGTGCTCTCATTCTTAACACAGATTGGAGACTGTTCACAATGAGTATTCATTACCGGTGATGAGCAAGGCTCACCAAGCCCAGCGTTAGACTTTGATGCAGCAACACAAATTTTGGCATCCAAATCAGAATCTTCAATACAAGCCCTTTCTGGTTCCTTATCTAGTTGGTCAACAATTGTAACACTTGAAGACAGATCCTCTATAAAAGGAAGAAATATATTTACATTAATTATTGTTATTGCACTAACAAAATAACTTACGAGGTAAATTTGAAATTTTGGAAAGAAATACAACTGACCTTCTTTAACAGAAGAAATTTTCCTAGTGTTCATCTTTGGCACAAAGCTAAACAGTATTTAAAAATTTTAGTTAATAATAAATTTAAAATAAATAAAATAAATAATTTAAGTTTAATAATTAAATGGAATGGAACTCACGGCTTGCATGCTGTACTGGTGGCATTTTGTTTGGGACAAAACGCAGGTGTTTGCACTACAGGTGACTCAGAAGCCATACTTTGGTACCCCTTGGATGGCTTATTATCCTTTCTTTGAAAACCCGAAGTGGTTGGCACTTTAACCTCAGAGCTTGAGGAAGGAAATACTGGAAAAAGGGCAGATGGTAGATTAAGATTAGTCAAAATGCTAAGACTACACACTCGTAATTAAATCAATTTTTAAAAAAGTTACCTGGTAACAGTTTTTTAAGAGAGCTTTTTGGTGTTCCAACCTCTTGTAGAAGTTTTCCATGTGAACGCTTCATGCGACCAGGGAATTGGTTAATTGGACCTAAGCAGAAAGTAAAAAGCAATGAAAGTACCTTGAAAGTCAAGATAAGCGACAATTCTAGAGAGGTAAGGGGAATAGTCCTCACTTTCAGCACTAATTCGTGATTTCAATGGAGCATTTTCAGTGTCAAAAACCAATGGTGGTGTAGATGCCTGAGCATCTTGAAGCATTTCATAGCCGATTTGCAGACTTCCTTTCAAAGGAGTTTCAGACTGATCTGTATCAATGAAAAAATATAATAATTTAAAGTGCACAAATCAACCTTTTTCCCCCTCGTATCTCGACTCTCACAGGTAAAAATTACGTCCAGAAATTACACAAACCATTCTCAACTGTAGAAGAACCAACGTTTTCAAGATATTCGGACAGCAGTTCCATATAGCCAGCTTTTGTTTCGGTCAAGGAGACTTCAACAGTTTTCAGTTGATCTCTAAGGTGCTCCAATTGTGGCAATGTTGATTCGGTAGATTGAAATCCTCCACACATCGATATGGAATTCAATAACAATGTAGCAGCATTGGCACCCTCAGAAAGCAGATGGGGCAAGTCCAATTTGCCATCAGCGTCCTGTGCAAGAGAAACAAAGAAAAAGAGAATCAGATATAGGAAACTGCTAAAATGTATTACTGACAACTACTATATCAAACAAAGACTATTCTTCACAATAGTAAACCTTCACACTAGATGGAAAATGGGTAGCATCCAAAACAAGTGGCATGGTCTTGCTGTCCACAAGTGTCTTGACACTTTCATAGCAATTTTTAACCACTACACTTTGATCCCGAAGAGAGTTTAATGTCTCAACAGCTTTCTCTACCTGATTGTCAATAATATTCTGCCATTCTGAAAGAAGTCAATGAATCAATAAAACAAAAATTACTGAAACCATGCTTTATGAGACAGAAACAAAGTCAGAGAAAGATTCTCACTTGCAAGAAGAGCATCACTTTGCTCTTCATCACCATTAAGTATGATAGCTTTCTCTTCATCAGACAGCGGACAGCAATCTGCACGTTGCAGGATATCAGCACACTCAGCCTGTATAGCTTTCAATTCCTTAGAATCCTTTGCAATATCATCAGTCAGTTTTCTGTAAATAACAAGTGGAATAATAAAAACAGGAAAACTCAAACTGGTTTTATAATAAATGTAGTGCCATACTTAGCATAGATATTTGCATCAATGTTTAATTTGCAGAGTGCGTCTATTTCTTGCTTTAATTCTTCCATTTTTGTCTCAGTTATGCTCTGAAATATGTGCAAGCCAGCAGTAGGATAATCCAGTACTGCATAGTCTGCAACAAAAATGTGAGAGATTAACTAAAAAGAGAAACAAACGTAATACTTAAAAAAAAAAAGCAAACAAACGAAGAGAACCTACCACTTTCTCTTTCTAGAACTGTTTTGAGAACCAAGAGAGAAAATTTCCACATAAACCTAGTAAGTCTCTCTCCTCCAGGAGTTGAAAGAAAAGAAGGTGAAAATGGTGGGATTCTGGCTTGAGGTACTTCCTGCACAAGAAAAGATTCTTTCATCACATAGACCTTGACTATTTGGGTGAAACAAAGAATAAACAAAACAAAATGATCAAGAACTTACTTTGATAATCTCTTTTACAAAAGCAACAGTATTTTGACGAAAGGTACGCTCCTGACTGCGATCAAGAATGGGCCACGGAACTTTGGGACTGTAGCGAACTGGATCATATGTGTTACACAGGTAGTACAACACTTGATCAAATGCTGTTCTATTAGGTTTCCCAAACATATTCTGAAAAGGAAAGAGACATAACATTCATACAGAGTGAACTTCAGAACCTGAGCATGTTGTGCAGATAAGAAATGGTATGTATTAATATTAGATAAATAAACGAACTACAATTATGGCTCAAACTTGTTTGCAGAAAATACACAGACTTGAATGGACTAGCATAAAGACGAACTGTCAGCAAGTCGGGAGATTGTGAACACACAGAAGATGTCAATGATGTCCATGTCAGTCTACCTCTTTGATGCATTTGTAGAAATCAGCGCTGCCTGGGTTGAACTCGTGAAGGAGAGTTAAATTGTTGAAAAGATGTTGCTGGGCTTCCGCGAGAGTCATCGTGGTCGTCAGAACTGGCGACAGAAACACTGAACCGCTACAACCGACTTCGACACTGCAACTAACAGAAATTTGAATTGAGAGAGAAAGAGGAAGAGAGAGAGAGAGATGGAAACAGACCTGGATCTGCCAATAGTACAGCACGGGTGGAAACCTAGAAATATTGTCTCAGAGGAAAAAAAAAATTCTGAGAAAAGCAGGATTTTATTTCAAATTTTTTAACTGACCATTTAATACAAATAGTCATGATGATGATGTGCTGATAGCGTGTCATTGTAAACAAATGGCACAAAAGCCTTTGCACAGAAAGCTGGTAAGTTGTCTAAACTGAATGGTATTGACACGTGCTCATTATTCGCAGAATATTCTGAAAGCAGAAGTAACGCCGACTGCTTTGGAATAAATTTAGTATTATTCACTAATCAAAGAATTGTCATCACTTTATTTAGTCTCGAGTTATATAAAACAATGTTAAGACATTCAAAAAAGTTTTTACTAGGCGGGTTTCTAGGCCTTTTCTCTGGAGAAGATGATCCTTACACAGTAACCGAGCAGATGATGAAAGAGCGAATCAAAGAATTTGAGGAATCAATGCCCACAGATCCTTGGGAACGGGTCAAGTTTGGTCTTCTTCATAAAGAGTGAGTCCTCATTACTTCGTCACGAGCCATCCACTTCCTTGGAGTTTGGTTGGCAAAGTTGATGTGGGTCGGAGGTTACATTATGTTTTGTTGTTGCGCAGCAAATATGGAGAAAGAGGACCCGTTTTTCAAAACTTATATCAAGGCTCTGTTTGTTCTGTGATTCTTGGTGCATTTTATGGTGGCATTAAAAAAGCTCATGTGGCTCACATGGACTTCATGCGGACAAATCAGGCAACAGCGTTCCTCACACATCTTGATGCCAAGGTAAAAAATCAATTTCTTTTCAATTTGAAATGGATTAGTTTCACATCTGCCCTTCATATTTTGCACAGAAAAGACTGCAAGACAGAATGATGGTTTCATTTCTATCGGGAGCGGCACAACTTGGCTGGCGTACCGGACTTTTCACATTCATGTTTATGTAAGTCTTAATTAAATGATTGTTGTTTCATACAAGGAGTGGATTCCAAAATTAAAGGAAATACATATTTGTTTTCTAACAATTTTTTTTCACAGTGGGGTTTCAAATTCAATTGCACTTTATCGAAATAAAGATGGTATATTAGAGTATGCTATTGGTGGTGCTGTTGCTGGAGCATCTTACAGAATGTTTATAGGACTCCGTCAGACTATTGTTGGTGGCATTTTAGGTGCGTTGACTTGAATTTATTTGGTAATTCATCAAGTGGACTGTGAAGTTGGTAACTACTATCAATGCATTTCTAGGTCTTGGGTTTGGTGCCTCAGCTGGTGTGGTATCCAAAACTATCTTGTATTTAACTGGCTGCTCTATGACCGAAGTGAGACATGCACAATATTCACTTTATATACACAGAGAGAGGTTTGTATTAATTCATTTGATTTAATATTTTGATATTTTACCATTTAACCATCTTGTTTAAGAATTTCAATATTCTTTGACATTCTTTTATTTTTCCCAACCCCTTCAGTCAAGACAAAAGAGCAAATGATTTAGCTGCAAGAGACGTGCTTACATTGGAAGAGAAATCTGAAATGGTTCAGAAAATAGAAAGTGATGAAAAAGCCAAGAGAATAGAAGATAATTTGGAGAATGTATGAAGAAGCTTCTGCATCATTCTTAATCAAATATTAAAGTCTACCATAGGATAAATTACCTCCACTATCAGTTTTTTCCTTTTTTTATGAAAGATTTAATCAGCAAATCTAGTTAACATAACATTACTGAATTGTGGTGTTCTGAAGGTTACAAAACGGTTCCAGCCCAAACTGATGAAGTATTTCTACTGTATGCAACGGAGCAATACCATTCCTCACAATGTGATACTTGCCTTCATTACTCAAATCTACTACTGTTGAACCAGCTCGAGAGCTGGTTGACTGAGCATTTCCTAGAGATCCACCGTCAAAGACAGCACCAAGCTGTGGCCAAAGATTTTCAAATTCCCTCACATTGAGGGAGCTTGGCTCGTTACTTAAATTTGCACTTGTTAGAGCTAGTGGAGATGAAACATTTTGAGCTAATTTTCGCACAAATGGGTGATCAGGAACTCTGATTCCAACCTTTGAACAATTGGGATTGAGTTCTCTGTTTAGGAGAGGGGACCGTTCCAAAATGACAGTGACTGGTCCTGGAAGGAGAGCCTTGAGAAGGCCATCTGGCAAAATGTCTGCTTTGCTCCACAAACGTACATCCTCCACCTCTCCAACACACATTGCTAAGGGTTTGGCAGAGTCTCTTCCCTTGACCCCGTAAAGTTTCCGAACAGCAGTTGTATTCTGAGCACAAGCTGCTAGTCCATAAATAGTGTCAGTAGGGAGGGCAATGATATTTCCCTCCATCAGAAGACGGCTTGCCATATCGACAGCTGTAGCTTGAGCTTTGCCACTTTCTCCGACAGGTACCACTGTAGAAAGGCGCATTTTAGCCATCCTACTTAGCCTGAAACTGACAGTACTTCCTTTAACACCTCAGAAATTACACAACAGCATAGAGCGGGGATTTGGAAGTTTACCCAATATTAGTCACGCCAGCGGTGGGCACATTCATGGTTACAACACTTGTAGAACGTTGTCATCGGCTCATCTGCGGATCGCGTCTGAATCTGCATGAAGTAAGCTCGAGGATGAGCACACTTGGGGCAACGCTCATCAGTTGCATCTACATTTGCCCAGGCTGCACTGCCACCGAGAACATCATCCAGCTCCTGAAAGAACGAGAAAGAAAAGGCAATCACACAAAGCGTTCCAAAGACAGAGAGATTCGTTTCCTCATCCCAATCCAACTGCTGCACCTTGAGCTTCGGGAATGATTTCTTGGAAATGAGACGCGTAATGTCGAACTTGAATGGGCACGTGTGACAGATGAACTTGTATCGTTCGTTGCCTTCAGCCGCAGTTAATGCGTTGGCACAACAAGGACAGAACAAGAGCATAGTTAGGGATCAGGACTGTGCTCCCCAGACACCGCGATGACGAATCAACGTCAAATCATACGGAAGAAGAAACTTTAATGACATGTACGTCACAATAACCTAAGCAAAAATAAACAGAAGGCAGCAGAAGCGGCACCTAGAGAGGGGAGGGGAGGGGAGGAGGGGCAGAACCGTAGGGGAAACATCAGAGATTTATTTGATGATGCCCATCTCTCCACAACGACAAATATAAGATGTGGAAAAGATCAAATTATATAGCTTTGCAACGTGGCAAAAATCAAAATTTCGTGTCAGTCAGTGATTGTCGATGTTAAGATGAAATGGGTTTCCTGGACAACTTATTACAGTTAGTAGTAAAGTAAACTGTACTCGTGCGAATAGTGTGGAATTGAATTTTGGGTTTTTGAGAGAAGTTGGTACAAATGAGAGATAAAAATAAGGGGCTGACACAATTTTTATCATGAAAGACGTTGCTTAGAAAGCAACACATCACATTACGGTGATCTGCATAAGAAGATACAAAACCATGACGAAACTCTGGTTCTGCGAATAGTCAGGCCGGCGGTCGCGGTCGCACGCACACGCATCGGCTGCTCGGTTCTGCCTCAGTTGCGCGATTGCGTGCTTCTGGATTTGTTTTAAGTAGTCTGTTCTTCGTCATGGCTTCGCTAATATCTTCTCGATTTATCACAAATTCCGGTAATTAATTTTCTATTTCGTCTTTTGCCTGTTACATTTAAGTATTGTAATTCAAAAGAGTCGAAGATTCTCGGTGAAATGAAACCTCTAGAAGCTCTGCTCTATCTTGCTATTGACTGATATCCAGTAGAGGACTTTTTGTTTTTGTTACTTAGTCCAAATGTCCAGTCTGATCATGCCGTTTTACAGTCTTATCTATTTCGGATCAATCGTTGCGTATTGTGTTTTAGCCGATTTTCAGTTTTTCTCTCGACCTAACCTATTCATTCTTGTGTGAACTCTACAGTCTCCCCTTCATTCCGAATGCTAGCTCGCAGTCTTACTAAGTTTGAAATTTCCGATCGGTTTTCTTTACACTGTATTGTACCACCATACTCATGTTAGCTTAATGTCTCTGCATTGCAGCCTTGAGCCAAGTCTTCAGATCGGCCCTAATCGGTGGAGAAGGAAAATGTTTGGTAAGCATGCAATAAATTTCTTTCCTAAGTTATTTTATTTAGCCAAGTACTGCTTCAAGATGTTTGCGTTGTAATTAATATTTCCCATGTCTTGCATACAGTATCCCAATATCCGTGTTAGCCAATGGTACCTGCCCAACAACTACAATCAGCACAGATTCTATGCAGAGAAACAAGTTTACAAGAGAGACAAGCCTCATTGCAATATAGGCACTATTGGCCATGTCGATCATGGTAAAACTACTCTTACAGCTGCAATTACCAAAGGTAACTAACTCTGCTTCAATCTTCAGTTTGTCACAATGTAGTGAGAAACAATGACATATAATCTTTCTTTTTGTTTCTACAGTACTGGCTGAAAAAGAACTGGCCCGAGTGAAAAATTATGATGAAATCGATAATGCTCCTGAAGAGCGAGCTAGAGGAATCACAATTAATGTTGCTCATGTGGAATATGAAACAGAAAACCGCCATTATGGTCACACGGATTGCCCCGGACATGCTGACTACATCAAGGTGAGAAAGTTGAATTCAAGCATCCGTTCTTTTAAAAATATCTTTGAATGTCTTCTACCTTTATGTTGTTTTTTTTTACCAGAACATGATAACAGGTACCTCAACTATGGATGGTGCAATTCTTGTTGTCGCTGCTACTGATGGTGTGATGCCTCAAACGAGGGAACATTTGCTTTTAGCTAAGCAGATTGGAATTAAACATATTGTTGTCTTCATTAATAAGGTATGTAGAGCTAACTGTACATGTGCACATTTTGGTACTTGTAACTAAGTAGCACTGTGCTGTAAATTGCAGGTGGATGTTACTGATGCTGAAGTCCTTGAGTTGGTTGAAATGGAAATTCGAGATCTTCTCACTGAAATGGGCTTTGATGGTGATGGCTGTTCAATTGTCAAGGGATCAGCGTTGGCAGCTATGGAAGGGAAAACTCCTGAAATTGGTATGGACAAGTTGGATTGTGTAAAAGGTTTCTTGTTATGTGTCTGATCCTAATGTTTCTTATTTTGTCTTTTGCCAGGCTCTGAAGCTATTGTCAAGCTGCTTGATGAGGTTGATAGAGTAATCCCAGTTCCTGAGCGTGACTTGGACAAGCCCTTCATGATGTGCATCGAACATACATGTGCCATTCCTGGTTAGAACATATCATTTTTTCCCTTTGTTCAACTGCAGAAGTATTGTGAATTTATTTTTAAATAATAATAACAATTTTCAGGTCGAGGCACTGTTGTGACTGGCTGCTTAGAGCGTGGATCAATCAAGAAAGGCATGGACTGTGAAATTCTCGGTTATGGAAAGCAATTAAAATCTGTCATTACAGGTGAGCATGAGCATCAATTCACTTGTGTTGTCACTGTGTTATGTACTACTTTCAAATAGCAGTGCACATTTTCTCTTTGGTTTTGGAACTGAAACAATTGAAATGTTTTGCAGGAATTGAAATGTTCTGCAAGACACTGGAAGAAGCACATGCTGGCGACCAGTTGGGTGCTTTAATTAGAGGTATGAAGCGTGACGATGTGCGAAGAGGCATGATGGTGTGCAAGCCTGGTACCCAAAAGCTGTATGATGCTGCTGAAGCTCAAATTTATATTCTGACAAAGAAAGAGGGAGGGCGAACAAAGCCTGTCACATCTCGCTACAATTCACAGATGTTCTCCAAAACTTGGGATAGCATTTCTCAGGTTCACCTAATAAACAAGGAGCTGCTTATGCCAGGAGAAGATGCACGGTAAGAATTCTCTTTGAACGTGTGTTGCATCTAGTGTTAGTTTCTTTGGGCAACACTTATTGATCTCCCATTACATTTCCAGTGTTAAAATCTGGCTTCCCAAGGGAATGGTTATGGAGAAGGGGCAGCGTTTTACCATTCGTGAAGGTACCCTCACAGTTGGCACTGGAGTCATCAGTGAGCTTCTTCCTCCCTTGACTCATGAAGAGAAAGAATCCATTTTGATGTCCAAGAAAAACATCGCCAAGCTAGAATTGAAAAAGCAGCAGGCACTAGAAAAACAGGCGGCGGCAGCAGCAGCAAAGAAGAAGTGAGATTTTCCATAGGACAGTGTTCGGAACATGCATTTGTGTTTTAAAATGATGGAAATAAATTACCTTTTCTAAGACCTCTGGTCTGGGGTTCCATCAAGTATTCTCATGATATTCAGAGTTGTAAAATAAGAGACTGAATAATCATGATGGTAATCATCAACTGGCCGCTTTGAAAGTGAATAGGATTTGTCATATACTAGTCTGCTCCAAAGTGGAAAATGTTTCCTGTATACATGGATTTGGTACTTTACAGACAGCATCATGATGTCCAGTGATTTGATAGTATGTCCTTGAGTGATTCATCTGAATTAGGCATTCTTGCTTGCAGCTCATGCAACTTTGTTACTGTTATGGCTTCTGTAAGTCTTGTAAATTGTAGGAAACACTTACTGAGAATCTTTTGTAATAAAAGGAATAATGAAGCTGCTTTTGCATTACCTTTTGCCATCCTTACCAGAAGATACAATACGTTAAAAGTACTTAAATGGCCATGAATTAGTATTTTAATGACTCATTCATTATTTAACACAAACATACATTCACACAGTTGAGACTTTGATACATTAAGAGCCGCAAGAGGAACTCATCCGTTCACACAAATGTATTTGACGGGAGCAGAAGGCACCACAGAGATCATAATTGCTTGGCATGATGAAAGGTCTCATGAAGGGCTGGATAGAGCATTGATGGCATGGGGCACTGCAAAAGAGAAGAGAAAAGGTTTAATTCGGTGACATATCTTAAGGCACTTTCTACATGGTCAACAATACAATCATCCCAGGAGATAGAGTGTAATTGCAAGGTATAACAAAACATGTTGGCACAATGCACGATCGTCCGAATTGAAGAAACGAGTACTTTCAAGTGGGCCAGGGGTCTCTAATCTGATGAAATTTGTGGACTTCAGCTTACCTAGTCTGATCATTGTGATGAGGACTCCAAACGAAATGAAGCTATTAATGACACCCTCTCGGACTTTCCTCTTCTCTTCGGCGGCATCGCCACCCCTTCCTTGGATTCGCAGCATTTGGGATTTGGAGGGTGAAGGGGTTGCCTCGAGTCGAGGAAGCTAAAAACGAGATCGCCAAACTTTGAAAGAATCGTGCACCTCACGAGTCAGAGGTTAGGAAAGCAGCAGAAGAAAAACAGATGAAGGTGCGGTATGAGAAATTGTACTCAGGTGCCGCAGTGCGAAATTCAAATTTCTGAGATTGCTGCGGCAGTCTATACTACTCCCGTAGTTTGTTCGTAAATATTCGCTGAAGCAGCGATGGATCATTGGATAATCGCGGCCAGCTTCATCAGGTTAGATACACGACAGACGGAATATTTTTCATGCTAGACCGGAACTATCCTCAATTTTGTTAATGTTATTGTAGTTTGTCTTTCAAGTTGAGTATTTTCTAAGCGAAGTGGGCTAGGGCCCTGTGTGAGCTGTGTGAGCACGCTCCGTCTCTCTCACGCACGGCACGTTAGGTGCGATAGAGAGAGAGAGAGACTGCCCTCCGCTGAGCGATTCGCCTCGTCGGAGCGGTCGGTATTGAAAGGGCGTCGATCAAGGGCCGTTTGTCTGATTCGCCCTCATTGCGGGTCGCCGCCCTGCCCGGCCTGCCCGGCGCCTCCCTTTGACCTTGCCAGCCGTGCCAGCTAAATGGCCCTATCCACCTTCTGCCACAATGTCGGCCCCTCCCCCTTCCCTTTCGCCTCGTCCGCGTCCCAACCTGCGGGTAACATCACCGTCGTCAGTCACAAAGCGGCAAAGCGCGTCGCGCCGCCACCTGCCCCGTCTGCCTCGGAACAGCGCTCTCGTCGCTCTGTCTCTCTTCGCAGCATTGGGGTATACGCCCCGGGAGTGCGACAGAGACAGCGCCGAAGGCACCGTCTACAATTACAGTGGCGGTCGCAGACACCTCTCGCGTCCCTTGGTGCGTCACGGCTTGTCACAGTGTGCCGGCAATGTGACGTGGGCGACGGCGGGGGCGGTTCGCTGGGCGCGTCCGAGGTCCGAAGACGTCGCCACGGGCTGCCAGCCCCGCCAGCCCCGCCGAGGGCGTGTGCGTCGTCTGAGCTGCAAGGGCGGCTGTTTCGCGCTCCCGCCCTGCGCCCCGCCCTACCCCCTGCGCCCCGCCGCTACGCCCCCCGCCGCCGCGCCGCCGCGCTCCGCCCGCTCCGCTCACTCCGTGCCGGCGGCGCAGACGGAGCGGACCTCGTTGCCGTGTCGCTGCCGCCCCGGAGCCCCACGGCAGTGCCGCGACGAGCTCGCGATCGCCGCCGCGAAGCGCGGAGCGCCAAGCCCCCGCCTGCCGCCGAGGCGTGCCGCGTGTCGACGCGTGTCGACGCGTGTCGCCCCGCGTGGTGTTGGAGTGTCTGCCGCGCGGGAGGAGTCGCCCCGCCCCGCGGCCGTCTCTGTAGCGGCCCTTTCACATGCCACCCCGCTGAAAGAGGTAAGCGTCGCTCGGCGTCACTGTCGCGCCCTTTGTCGCCCGTGACGCGTGCGTGACACGCCAGTGACACGTCAGTGACACGTCAGTGACACGTCAGTCGACTGAAAGAGGTGAGCGTCACGGCGCCTCGGCTTCACTGTCGCCCTCTCCGTCGTTCGTGACGGATGCGTGACACCAAAGTGACAAGTTAGTGACACGTCAATGACACGTCAGTGACACGTCACTCGACTGGAAGAGTTGAGCGTCGTGGCGCCTCGGCGTCACTGTCGCACCCTTCGTCGCCCGTGACGCATGCGTGACAGCATAGTGTTAGTGACACGTCAATGGCAAGTTAGTGACACGGAAATGACACGTCAGTGACGCGTGCCGGATTTTCAAGCAATCTCGCGGTTGGCTAGTTCGAGCTGGGACTGACTGGAACTGCCTGGCCCGCGACATGAACGCGCGTCGCGGCGTCGCGGCCAAGGGGCTGCGTATCGACGGGCCGCACAGCGCAGCAAGTTAGGCCAGCACAGCACCGCCAGCAAGGCCGCCAACCGGAAGATTAATGAAACTGGACGCATTCGCTTGCCGCGGCTTGGCTTCGGAACGCTTCGGACAGCCGGAAATTAATCACAATTTAATCCGTCTGCGTGCACCGCGGCGGCCCGGGGACACGCTGAGCGGCGCGGCCAGAGTCCTCAGGTGCGCGCGTCGCGGTGCTCGTCCCGGACCACCCCGACGACGAGCAGACTCCTCTCTCTCACACCCACGGGATGGAGCGCGAGAGAGACAGCGCGAATGAGACACCTGGTGGCGTCCACCCCCGCGATGCGATGACTGGTGATTATTTCGAGCGAGGCGGCCTGGGGGGCGGCCTGGGGGGCGGCCTGGGGGGCGGCCTGGGGGGCGGCCTGGGGGGCGGCCTGGGGGGCGGCCTGGGGAGCGGCCTGGGGGCGGCCTGGGGGGCGGCCTGGGGGGCGGCCTGGGGGCGGCCTGGGGGGCGGCCTGGGGGGCGGCCTGGGGGGCGGCCTGGGGGCGCTGGGGGGCGGCCTGGGGGCGGCCTGGGGGGCGGCCTGGGGGGCGGCCTGGGGGCGGCCTGGGGGGCGGCCTGGGGGGCGGCCTGGGGGGCGGCCTGGCCGGCCTGGCCCGTGGGACGGGCCTGTCGTGCGGGCCGGGCCCTGCGCGGGCTGACCACTGCCAGTGTCGCCAACATAGGTTGCAGAAAATGCCCACAATGCATGACCCGTGTCGAAAGGGTTGCCAACCTCAGCCTGCCTACTGGCCAATATCTGGGTTTCCTTCGATAGTCGCACTGCTGGTAGGCTGAGGTTGGCAACCCTTTCGACCCAGGCCGCGCGTCGTGGGAATTTTCGCCTTCCGATGTAGGCAACCCTGCCCGTTGGGCCCGTTGCCGGGCGAAGGCTAAATTTCCCTGCTGGTGTAGGCTGCAGCCATATCGGCGTGCGAAAGCGGCAGGCCGGCAGGACGCGGCGCCGCGGCCACGGGGCGTGCACGCGGCGGACGCGGCGGACGCTCAAAGCTGGGGCTGCTAAAAGGAAGAGGAAGGAGCAGCTTTTATTGACGTTTTTATGGCGCGTGGGTCCCGGCAGCAGTCCCGGCGATGCACGATGAGTGAGAAAATTCTTTGTGGCGCATGCGGTGCGCGGCCACGGGACCGCACGGCTCGGGCCCCGCAGGGTTTTCGTTGGCATGGCGCGCCGATGAACCAACCGACTGCGTCTGCAGGTGGGGGTGGGGGCCGCGTACGCGCGCGTGGGGGAACAACTGCGTGCATTTTTCGTGATTGTTTGGAATGTAATCTAAAGGGCGGAAGGGGAAACTCTACAGTGCCGTTGCCGCGCTTTTAGAGACGGCCCGCGTCGCTCCACGTCTCCGAACCCTTCTCCTGTCTCGGTGTGCCTTCTCCTGAGACCGGGCCGGGGAAATTCGGTCTGACGTACGTCGTGGCGTTTGCTCTGAATCACGGGGGGTGTCAACTCGTCCACTTTGTTGGAATTTGTTTGCGCGTCTCTTGGAGGCACTCTTCCTCGCAGTAGTTCGCCTTGGCAGTGCGTGGCGGTGCAACATTTGCACTCGGGTCGGGCCTGGTCGGGCCGCGCAGCAGGGTCTTCTTTCCACCTCCGAGTCCCAACTCTGCGCCTTTGAGCAGACGCCTCAAATCTCATCAGGTGTTTGGCTTGATGGCGGGCCAAGGGTGGGGCCGGGGAGGCTACGTGCCCCGTGGGGTGGCCCGGTGGGCCCGGTGGGCCTGTGGGCCCGGTGGTGGGCCCGGTGGGCCGATGCCGATGGTGGGCCGTGGGAGGGGAGGCGGGACTCTCCGGCACTCGTTCCGCCACTTTCGAACTGATCGCATTGCTCGGCACCGGACCGCCGTGGAATAGTGATGACGGAGATGAAAGTAGCGTCTGCGTGCGTGCGTGTTGGGCGCCTGCCGGTGGGGGACGCGCCGCGGAGGTCCTGGGTTCAAATACCCGCACCTCCGTCTTCGTATTTTCTTTTTTCGGGTGGTGGGGGTGTGGGAATAGAATAGAGTTCTCGTTATTCACACCCGTCACACAAAGTTTTTAGTATTGTTGTTTGTTTCTTGCAAGGCAATGGCAGTTGCCATGAGTTCCCGCTATTCGTTCCCGTCACACCCAACAAAATGTATTTGTTGTACCAGGGACTATGAGCTCGTTTCGCGTGATGTTTGCAATAATTTGCGTGGGCAGCCACTCTGCCGCTCCATCCACAAGTGCCCCAGTGCAGCCGGGCTTTGCGTGTCGCCCTGTCGCTGGCCGCGCCCGGCCGCCCAGGTCGCCCGGGCCGTCGCGGTGCTCGGCGGGTGGCCAGGTGGCAGGTACTCCACGGAAAATGACGCATTGCACGGCCGGCCTCTAATTTATTGCACCGGCCACGGCTGTTCGCTGTCTCGTTATTAGAGTTGCTTTTTTTTTGTTTTGCTGTGAGGGGCAGAAGAAGGGGTGGTTTCGGTTTTAAATAAATGCACGTACATATTAACGTCATTATAAACTCACCCGGACGACAGCTTATGTCCTTCATAAAAGTTGCGGTTTTCAGTATGTTCGTGAGATTTTTCAGTCGATTTCTATTTTTTTCTCGGTGTACGTGAGTGTCATTTCCGATTTCCCGACCAACACGGTGTGAAAAGCAGTCCCGAGGGAGCGTCGCGGGGCCGCTTGTGTGTGTGTGTGTGTGTGTGTGTGTGCGTGGTGGTGGTGGGGGGGGGGGGGGGCGTCGGAGAGCGCAGCCATCATTGCTTTGCCGAGGGGTAGAGGATTTGATATTAAATCGTCGTGATTGTGTTCGGAAAAGGAAAAAGCACTCGACGCTGCAACGAGTGGAACAGAGACGCCCGAGCCGGGCCAGGCGCTCCACTTCACGTCCCCGTCGCAAAGGGATCGCTCTGTCGCCTCCCCGTGAGGGCGAGAGAGACAGAGCGACCAATCCAGCGTGGGCATCGGCTCCCTGGAAGGCATTTTCCAGGACCAAGTCGCACGGAGCGAGCTTTTTCTCATGAGTGGGGCGTCATGGGAATTTCACCCTGGCTACACGACCACCCCCTTCTTCTTTGTCTGCTCCCTCCCCACTTCCTACCTGTCCTACGACCTCCGCGCCCCGTGCCCCCCTTTCTTTTGCATCCCCCTTCCTTCCGCTGCGCTTCCCCAGTCTATTCTGGGCGAACTGCGCTAGCAAGAAATGACCGATTCAATTGAATCTTCAAGGTCGATCGTGCCGACGCGTGCCACGCGTGCTGCAGAATGCCTGAAGATGGTAACGGGCTAACTTCTCTCTCTCTCTCTCTCTCTCTCTCTCTCTCTCTCTCTCTCTCTCTCTCTCTCTCTCTCTCTCTCTCTCTCTCTCTCTCTCTCTGCATATCGAACCGACGATGAACTCTTTCTCTTAATGATCCGCAGCCCCAAAAACCTTTCACCAAGCGCGCCTGTTTTATCACAGAAAGTTTTCGCGGAGATTTTTTTATTTTCCCGCACCGCGGTCTACTGGCCGCCCATACGTCTCTTTTGTTCTCTTTCGTTTGTCCTTTTCAACTTTCAACTCGGGGGGGGGGGGGGGGGGGGCACGGCGGGATCGACGGCGGACACTCCGCTCCCCGTTTGCGAGCCATTTCCGCGTTTCCGATAACGCATATTAAAGCCCGATTCGTGTCCTGTCTAATTTGTGATTGGGCCGGAGCCATTCTCGACCGGGCTAGATACTGTTACACACACACACACTTACAGATATTTCAAACGCTTTCTCGCACAAACGACTTTTTACCGCTCACATACACACGACTTTTTACGACTTTTTAGCACTCACTCAGGCATCTGTGAAAAGGCCTGCCCGCGTTTCAGCAGGGTCCTCCGGGCCGGCGTTTAACTGCCTGGAACGGCCTGGAAGCACTGGAGGCAGCCCTGCAAGCGCTGGAAGGCCCAGCGAGCCTCCTGGAGGCCCCATTTGCCGCGCAATAAGTACCCCCGTGTTGGTTCCCTTCCGTTTTCTGACGGCGTAGCTCCACCATGCTTCGCTCGCCCCGTGCGTTCCAGTCCAAGGGTTCGGTCCGTTCCCAAATTCCACCAAAGCATAGAATGCGGGCTCTGATTGGCCCAGGCCACCTTCTCGCGAGTGTGTGGACTGAAAACAACCCCTATGCTCCGTCCGCCCAGGGGGTGGAAACGGGGCTGATTTGGCGGGCCTTGGCTGCGGCGATGCGTGCACGGCCGTTTTTGCCGTTTTCACCACTTTACCGCGTTAGTTGGTAAACCACTTTCCAGCTGAAGTAGTCGTCTTAACGACAAAACCTCAACGCGTACTTAAAGAGTAAGGTTGAAGGATCAGCAAATAAGCTCCTTGGGCCGAATTGATACTTACAAAATGAGATATTCACATTTTTGTAACTTGTTTACATTTTTTTCGGCGTTTTCAGGCCAGAATCGCCGCGCCCGAACGCGGATGAGCCATTTAAAACAAGTTACAAACATGTCCATGACTCGTCCTGTGGGTTTCAAATCTTCAAAACGGGCTTATTTTCTCGAAGAGACAACATTACTCTAGAAGTACACGTGCAGGATTTGTGCATAAGATGTCTACTTTAGCTAGAAAGTGGGTTTCTAGGAACCACAAAAAAACAACAAACAACGGCCGTGCACGCATCGCCGCAGCCATGGCCCGCCAAATCAGCGCCGTTTCCACCCCCTGGTCCGCCGCCAGGAAGAGGTCCTCAGGAAAAAGATATGTAGCCCGGGCGTCCCAGGATAGCAATAAAGACAGTTTTGGTGTTCCTTTGAGCGCGACTGAAAGAGTCCCCCCACACTCAATTTTTAAAACGACAACAAAAAACCATTAAACATTTATTTGGAAACTTAAATAAATACCGGCTAGAAGTCGATCGGGTGAACCACCACTCGAAGGTCTTGCCAACAGTCGACCTGACACAGACTCGGGCGCCTTATGACTGCCAGTCACTGCCATTTTCTTCCCCGCCTGGCCAACATTGAAATGAAAGCAAAAAGACGAAAACGGGACGCAGGGTGACGGCGAGGCCTGGGGTCGTTTCGGGCGGCGCGCCGCGGCGGTCGGCAAACAGGCTGGAAATGAAATCACGGCCACCTTGCTTCTTGCTTGCTGCGGGGCTGGGGCTGTAGGCCGTAGTCCCGTGGGCCTTGGCCGGGGCTTGGCCTGGGCTTGCGGGGCTTGGCCGGGGCCTGGCCGGGGCTTGGCTGCGCCGGACGCACTCCGGACCGCCTCAGATTTCCTTCTGTCATTTTGGCAGCCCCTCATCTACCCCCTCCACCCCCTGTCCCCCCGGACCACTGTCGCCCCAACGGCCGGACACAAAGGGGCCTCTCGGGTGCTTCCTGTGTGCCAGCGGAACCACGCTGGAACACGCTGGAACAACGCTGCGGTGGAACAACGGTAGGGTGGAACGACGGTGGAACAACGGTAGAACGGTCCTCGACGGTCATTTTTCATCCCCCTAAAGAGCGGTGCCGCGCAGGAAAAGAAGCTCGAAGAAGCTTCCGTGAAAAGCGGCTTTCGCTTCCCACGTGTTCGGCCGGCGCTGCAAAGTGCTGCGTGCCGCGCAGTGCCGCGTTGGGTGCAATACGATGGCTTGCCGATAACGCACTGTCATGTCAGCCCGGCCCAGCTGGCCTGGCTCTGGCCACGGCCCTGGCCACGGCCGCAGCCCGCGAGCCCGCGGCCAACCCGGACCGCTTCATCGTCCAGTTTCGTGATACAAAGTCACATGGACCCACCCACACAGATGGATAAGTACACGCGGCCTGCACAACACACACACACACATACCACACACACACATACACATATACAACACACACACATACACACACACATACACACACACACATACACATATACAACACACACACACACGCACTGACATGGTCACACAGTCACGCACACAAACAACCAGCCCCGATAAATTAAGGGGTCTTGTCGAAAATCACACGCTGTGGGCGTTTGCTGTTATTTGTTTTGTTGTTCCGGTCAGTGTGTTGCTCGGCCAATTTACGGCTTGTCAAAACTAGAATGAGCCCCCCTCCCCCCGGACTACCTGGCCTCATCGTAACCCTGGCCCTGACCAGCAGGCCGGCCTCACCAGGCCGCACCGCCGCACCACGTGATGCAAATGATTCACACAGACCTATTAGCAGTAAATTGCACCGCACCGACTGCGGGGATGGGGAGCACCTTCATGCCCCTCCTCTCCCTCATCACCCAGTCCATCAACCTACCCACCCCCGACCCTACTTTCTATTTTTCACCTCCCCTCGACAATTTTGCCGGTGTAGAGGAAGGGTAACAAGAACGAACCCTCAGCAGTGTTTTTCATGAAGACGGTGGTTGGTTTCAAACATCCGAAAATTTTTTCTCGGATCTGTGACTATAGGGACTCCTTGGGATGGCTTGCAGTGTGGCAGTGTAGCTTTGGGTGGATGCGGGGCTAGGCAGTCGCTCAAAGGCGCCGTTCAACTCGAAGCCAAATTACCAAATTCTTGACGTCAGCGCCGAAGGAGCCCAGGGAGTCCCCGGCAGTAGCCTCCATCTGTGTGTGTGTGTGTGTGTGTCTGTGTGTGTGTGTGTGTCTCTGTGTGTGTGTGTGTGTGTGTGTTAGCGGTGGAAAGTTGTGTGGCCTTCCGCCCGCGCGAAGGGATGGTCGACGAGTACGCACGCATTTACTTGGGCATGAATTGTGGCAGCCGTTGGCAGCCGTGCGCACGTACGGCCGCGCAGAAACTTTGACGCGTCGTCTCGTCGGAGGGTTCGTTCATCGGACAAGTTTCTCACAGAGTCACTGGAGTGTCCTTGCTCGGAGGCAGCCACTTCTCCCCGTATGCAGCTTTTTTTTTCGTCTTTTTGTCTCTGCCGAAAGAGGCCTGGAGCCGCGGGTACCCACTGACCCCATTCTGGCGGCTCCGCGGGCGGCCCGTGCATGTTCCCCTGTTCGTGCGTGTGTAGGCTTGGTTTTTCGCCGCTCATGCGGGCGTGGGGTCGTCTCTCTCTCTCTCTCTCTCTCCGCCCACCTGGCCTCCGTGGCCGCCTGCAGGGTAGGCAACCCAGTGCGCGCGCGGGTCCGACGGGACTGCCCGGGAGGCGTCGCTCCGTCACTGGGATTGACACGTACATGGTGCGACAGCATTGGTAGTGGTGGTGGTACACCTGCAATGGAAGCGGCACATGAATTCTGCATGGCGCAGGCACGGCGGTCGCTTGATCCATGCCGCTGCTGTGTCTCCCTCGCACTCGGGGGCCGTTCCTTCAGGGTGCGAGAGAGGCAGACCGCTGTCCGCAATGCCACTGCTCACTATTCCACGACCTTGACCGCCGAAAATCGGCGGCGAAACAGGCGGGATTCGAATTAATGCTCGGCCATTGAGTATGCAGGCGACCCCGGGGAAGGAAAAGTTTGCCGCTTGTTTTTCGCTCTGCGCCGCTCTGCGCCGCTCTGCGCTCGGCCCGCATTTTTTTCACTCTGAGGTGTCGGCACGCAGGGCTGCCAACGCTTGCTTTGGCTTAACGATATTATTAAAGAACGTCGCCTTCTCCCTCGTTAGCGCGGTGTTATTAAAAACAAAGACAGCCATCTTAATAATGTGGGCGTCCAGATCCATGAGTGCTGCCGTGCGGTTGGCAGTGCCGGCAACAAGTCCAGGCCGGACTCGCAACGTGAGACTTGTCTCGCAATTAGCCAACGTGACAAAGTCAAAAGGCCGCGGGGCGCCGCGGGGCCAACGCAACTGCCTTAATTGAACCTTACGCCTTTTGCGCGCTTTTGCGTGCTTTTGCGTACGTGTTCTTGTGGGGGTGGACTCGGTGGGGGGCCAGGGGCGCGGTCGGCGAGTCAGCGAGGCGGACAGAAAGAAATATACGCCCCAGAACACACTGGCCGCTCGCATGTCGAGCCAGAGTGTGCCACCAGTGTGCCAGTGTGCCACAGGGTGGGACTCGGCCGCGGGCGACGCACCGACGCACTGGACTGGTTGGTCGCTCTCTGCAGCGCGCCACGCCTCTCTTCCGGAATGCACTCGCCCCACACCCTTTTCCGCAGGGCGCTCTCTGGGCCGTCCGTCCGGTCCGTCCGGTCCGTTGCACTCCTTCGCGGCGCATGCGCTGGCGCACGCTGTCGTGCTGTTGCGCTGTCTCGCCAATTGTTCGGGACTGTCTCCGTTTTCTAATTTGAGGGGGGCTGCTATTATATCGGAGCAGCGCGCCTGGGCGGGGCGGGGCGGGGCGTCGGTGGCGTCTTCCACCAGGACGGTCCACCAAGGCACCCCGTGTCGGGCCAGCTGCTACTTAAAAGTGTCTTGGGGCATTAATTAAAACGGAGCGAGCAGGTGCCTTGCGCTGGGACATCCAGCGCCGCTACCTTTCAAAACCCACCAATTCACACGCAAAAATATTTCTAAAAACGAGGAAAGAAAAGGCATTTTATTGAAACGGACTTCAATGCTCTCATTCTGGATAAGAGTATTTGCAATGGAATATATTCACTGACCCAGGAGCTCCGCGGGTGAAATCAAAGAGACCTTTCGCCTTGCAATCTTATTTCAAAAGGGCGAGGCCTGGAATGAGGCTAGTTATTTGCATGCCATGACATTGGAAACTGAGCCGCGGTGGGCGGGCGGGCGCCTCCACTGTCAGAGATCGCACCCCGACACCTGCTGTTTACCCGGGCGCTGTGTGTACACTGTGTATACGAAAAGGGAATATAGTTGTCCTTCAAAACGGCACGCGCGTGATTGGCTCCAGCGTAAAAATAGCGCCGAAGGAGGAAAGTTGGACGGAGTGCTACCTTGTCATTAAGACCTTGCTAACTTTTTTTTTGGTGGCCGCGCCTGCGAAACGCGATAAGTCAGAGGGTGGCTCAGGTGCTGTGTGGACAGTCATTCCCACTGCCCGGGCATGCCCCTCCCCTTTTTGCGCCCCCTCCCGGGATATGATAATCCCACGCAAACAGCGCACGTTGCCTCCACACACCTTGCCAAGGCCCCGGCCGAGCCGAGCCGAGTAACGAACTGAAACATGTGCTAAACCGACAGGGAGGACAAAGAAAGGCGTTTTACGAGGTCCGTTTGGAGCTCTGCTCTCCAAAAAGGAACTCGCGAGTGGTCACAGACACCAGGCGCAAGTTCTTCCACGCTCAGACACCTCAACACGGTTACACGGCATTGCTAACTCGTCAGCATGCGGGGCCGGGCGGTTGTTCTGCAGCCGAAAGTGCTCAGTCGGATTCCAAGACTGGGCTGCCTTCGGTCGGCCCCGGCCCGCCGCACTGACTTGACAGCGTCTGCTTCGCGAGACCAAAACGCGCGGAAAAAGGCGGTGAAGGTGAAGCTTGCTGGCGGGCTGCTTTCACGCTCGCCCGGAGTCGCTGATAGTCACTGGTGTATCTCCACCTGCGACACCCCCACCCCACCCCACTGTTCCACTTTTCTCCCAATATTTTGCGTAATGTGTCCCCGTCGCTTGAGAATCGAGGGGAGCATCTGCTGCCCGAAAGTGGCCGGTGGGCCAGATAGAGTCGGAGCCACCTAACCTAACCCTGACCGAAGACCGCGGCGAGCGGACTGCGGCGAGGACTCGGGGAAAATCTTGGCGTGGGATTGCACGGCGACGCGGAGCCGCCTGGAGCGCAAAGACAAGGCACCGGCACCTGTTTCCGGGCCCGACGGAAAC